CCAATCCCAAACAGTTCCAACACTATTTCGAGCATTTTTTTAAAAAAAAAGAATCATGTTATTTACTTGAGCGCTGCGCTTAAGTTACTTACTCAGTACATAATGTATAATTGTTTTTATGTAAGTTAAATTGTAATCATAATGTAAAAATCTTGTAGCAACGTTAGCAAGTTCCACCGACAACGCAAGCTTTCAAGTAGATTATCGCGTGCCTCCCTCCATCCGGTCTGAGCTTTCCGTTCTACATTACAATCGCTGCTATCTAACAAAATGTAGTAAATCAATACTTAGGAAAAATATGATATTTATAGCCATATTATTATCTCATATTTCATGAAAACGTGTATGTTATCTGTATAAGTATAATTATGTATAATAAAACCATAATGTGACTGTGTCATACGAGTGTTATTCACCTACATTACATAAAATATGTATAATTTTAGTAAATTCTATTACGTAATGGAAGTAAATTATACGGTATCACGATCACGCCTATATATTAGTATATATGTAAATATACGAAACAACAAAACGCATCCATAGAAGTTATTAAAAAAATTTTAAGTAAAGAACTTATTCTTTTTTTTCTTCTTTGAGTTCCACTACTATCGGAGGTTCTTAATTATCTTAATTTCTGAAGCTGTCGCTCTAAAGAGCGAGTTACAAGCAGTAACAAAGAAGTTATTAAAAAGTACTTTTTCAGCTTCCTGTATCAATGACGCAATTAGGTATTATATATTTATTTATTTATTTATACTTTTACACACAATTAAATATTACATTAATATTATATGTCTACAGGGCGAACTTAATACCTAATGACATTCTCTACCAGGCAACCGTTATGCTAAATAGAAAGAGTAAATTTCGATGCATTGCATATATATTGTTCTAAAAGAAGATAAATTATTATCTCAGGCAACACTTGACCAGGTCTTTGCTGCATCATGAGCAATGATCTGTCTCTAACTCTTTTTCACTCTAAAAACAAACAGCTATTCTTTGCTCTCCCTGCATCTTATATAACCCACTTATTGCAACTTGGGAGCGGCGACACTAACCCGATTTTCGAAACCCGACCTAATCGCCTTATGAATACTTTGCTGCTACAAAATATAAACCAACAAGTTACTACGAACTCGTTACTATGGATTGCATATTACTAATATCTACACTAATATTTGTTGGGTCGATAACTAACCTTACAGTTACAAGGACGGGGTCATGGCGGTCACGGCCGTAGTACTTGTTCACGAACAATGGTAGATTCAGTTTCAATAGGACTTAATGAAAATATAAACAAACGAATAATTGGAACGGCCATAAGTCTGCGTGGTAATGTCCAATATCAGTGCTAATCAAAAAATATTATAATTTATCGATTAACTATATTATTGATTAACTGATTGAACATTTCGATTTGTTACTAACCTTATTTAGTATTCATGTGATAATTTCAACAAAGTATAGTTATAAGTATAGTAAGTACCTTTTCATGAAGTTTTATTGAAACATATTATAAGTAGTTAGTATATTTAGGTCATTATGCATTGAGGTTTAAGAGTCAATAATTGCCAATAGACTTATTCAGAAGACCAGAAGGTGGCTTAGATTACTGGCAGATTTTCAAAATGATCCTGTCAATAAAAGGATCAGCGTTCGCCGATCCTACACACATATTCCCGTGCATAACTTCATTACCGTAATCGTAATCGTATCGTATCAACCGTTAACTGTCCACTACTAAACATAGGCCTCCTCCATAAAGGAAGGTTTTGCCAGTAATTGCCACATTTAGCAACCGCAGTTAGGCTTAGAAGATCGTTTAAGAGGGACGCTGCTGCCCATCCTCGCCTCTTACGACACCCACGGGAAAGGAAGAGGTGGCCCATTCAGTGCTGGAACCACACAGCAAGTATGTGGAAATACAATTAATAACAGTTTGATAGCAGCCTATCGATCCGAGGATTCTAAAATCAAATTACATTTTTAAAATACTAATTTGTATGGGCATCGTTCGAATTTTTCACTTGCTTCGTACTTAGAAGGGCATCTAAAGCCGTCCGGTAATTCACCTCAGAAACCTTGTACAACGAAGACGACCTAGAAATAATAGAGGACGCCACCCTCACACGATTAATAATAGTATTCCACGAATCTATAAAATAAATTTTTGATATGCCGTATTATCTATCATCACATTCACTAGGACTGTAATAAAAAGGTTTACCTTTTTAAATTTTGTTCTTAAATAATAAATGATCCTAGACGTTCCTTAGCCTTTGTCTACACAACAACTTAAGTCAGTGATTCTCAACCACTGTGCCGCGGCACTTTTGTGTGCCGCCAAATTTTAAAAGTGTACCTCCAAATTTTGCAAATATTTAAAATTTTTGTCATAAACAACTTATGCAGTGTGTTGTAGTAAGTAAATAATTTTTATCTTTTTCTTCGTGTGCCGCCAAATTTTGAAATCGTTAAATATGTGCCGCAACAAAAAATGGTTGAGAATCACTGACTTAAATAGTATAAAGAAGAAACATTTTATTGTTTATTTATAACAGATAAACTCAAAAGCTACTCGACCGATTTTAAAAATTCTTTCACCTACAGAAAGCTATATTATCAGCGAGTACATTGTGTATTATTTTCGAAAATTCTATCTACCTATTCGAAGCCGGCTGCATCGCTAATACTTTATCATAATCTTTTTATTGTAAAATGTATTTATTACTACATTCGACCGAATCGTATCTATATATGATTCGGTCGCTTTATCTTAGTAGAATTATATAACTATTAACAAATTCTATATTTATTATTATATCAGCCGTTAACTACTTAACGTAGGCCTCATAGTTACAGAACATAGTTGTCACGCTTGACAGATTGGTAACAACAGTTAGGCTTTGGTGATGTTTAAGAGAGATATTGCTGCTTATTCTTCTACCGTTTAGCTTCTTTAGTCGCCCCTTACGACACCCACGAGAAAGGAAGGGGTGACCCATTCAATGCCGGGACCACACAACGAACAAATTCTATAAATATTAACAATTACAACATACAATTAATTAATAAGTAATTTGTTTATTTAAAATAAAGCATTTATTGATTTACATTGAGCTCTTATTTCTTTCTGTTTCTCTCAGAATGGTACTAAATTGACAAATAATTATACCTGTTAATAATTTCTGTTTATTTCCTTATATTTTTGTGGGTTTTACGTGTTTAAATATACCTGTAAAAAATATTATGAATAGCCTTATCTGAATGACAAGCATAATTCATTTTTGTACTAGATTACCATCTATTTCTTAGAATAGATGTACTAGAAACAAATATAAATTTGCAGGTCTATAAATAAGTATAATACTTAGAAACAAACAATTGCAAAGTAAATGTTATTATTTTTGAAACTCTAGTTCTCTTTTTACATTTGAAACTTGACGGATTTGCGACTTGCAATTGATGGGCATTACTAATGCTATAATAATAGATATAATAAGGCCTGAATAAAAAAATAACCTAAAAATTTGTCCCTCTTACGTAATATTAAAACTATGTCGTAAAACTCGTAATCTTAATCTATATCAAAGTACACCCCAGAGTTTTTATAAACACTAATACCAAATATATTTTACTTCTCAAAAGCATTTTTAAACATTATAGTTTCAATATGGGACCGATACAAAGGTAAAGGCTATTTGACATAGAAAGGGAAAGCAAAGGGTGGCCTACTCCTTCCTTTCCCGTAAATGTCGTAAGAGGCTAAGGAGATTTTATAAGCACACACAAAAATATTAAAAGAGGTTTTTATTGATGCTTATGACACTGTCTAATTCTATAAAGGGACTTTTTAATTTCGGTTTAAAATTGACGAAGATGTCGTGTAATATATACACAAAAAATATGAACAAATAGAGAACCAAGAAAAAGAGCAAGAAACAATTTTTAGAAAATGGATGAATTTTTAGAAATTGTTTAATAATTTATGTAGTATCTATATCTATATTTATATATTAGTTGATAATTGATGCACCTCTTAAAATTATTTAATATTAAAAAAAAATCTCTGTTTTTTTTTAATATTAAATATTTATATAATATTACACATTTATATACTATGGCATTTTTTAATTACTTTCAGACTTTTACGTTCAGTAAGTACACACTGGAAGGGAGGGATTTTCAGTAATGAGGAATACCAGTCCCATTGTTAACAATATACCTTGTTAAATCGACCTCCACGTGGTCCCCCCTGGAAACCATCGTGCTGAATTCCAGATGTATTTATCATGATGGGCCAACTGACCTGCCTTTTTATATCCACCTATCACGCCTCACTGGTGCTCTGTCAGCGTATGCCGATAGCGCGGGCGGGGTTACCATTCTATTATCATACATTAAAAAAAGTAGGTACACACTAGTTGATTGCCGCAGCACACGTGAAGAATTATATTAAGTATTTTACGAAATAAAACCTTCTCGTGTACCAAATTGCATTAAAATCTCTATAGCTGTTTAAGTTTGATTAAATAAGAAACATACCAACGCATATACCAACTTTTGGTATTTAGACATCTGAACTATATTAATCATATCAGACATTATTCGTCCACTGCTGGACATAAGCCTCCCCCATAGACTGCCATAAGGAACGGTCCTGAGCCATCTGCATCCACTGACTCCCTGCAATGCATTTCAGGTCGTCACTCCATCTAGTGGGGGGGTCGTCCTACACTGCGTTTGCCCTATTGAACTATATTAATGATGCTGTTATTTTAAATAGGTACGGGTATCTGTTATTATATTTTTATCATTACGACTACTAGTATAAGTACATATTACATCTGAAAAACATTTTTTGTGGATTTTACAAGAAACAATATAACAAGGAAAATCTCACCTCAAAATGAATCACCCAATTGGTTGTTGACTAGTTTAAAGGTAATAAAAATATTACTTATTCTTTATAGATTAGTGAAATTTATAGTTGTTATAGATAATTTCATTATAAAAGATAGCCACTAAAGTGATATGTTCACACTGTTATATATGTCGAGTGTTTGTATTTGATGTACAGAAGTGAAGAATTGTTCAAAATCAAAATGCGTTTCATACTTGTTTGCGTGACAGTTATCGCTGCCGTTACAGGTAAGTCAATATAATAATACTCGAATTTAATAATTATACATTAATTTAATAATGTAAAATATCAGTTTACTAAATTCAAGTTTTTTTTTATACAACTTAAAATGGCAAACAAGCTGACGGCCCACCTGATGGAAAGTGGTAACCGTCGCCTATAGACATGAGCAGTACCATGGACATAGCAGAGTATACTGTTTCGCCCATGATACCCCCATGCGTTGCCATTCCTGAGGACTCAGGTGTTATTCCTCTGTACCCAGTAAATTCACGCCACACACGCTGTCGACTCTAACTATGTAATGTTATTTGGTAATGTAGTATATATTCTACATTACCAAATAACATAATAATAGTAGTAGTATATATTTTATCTAACTGGTGATTTTTAATTACAAAAGTATAAATATAGTAGTTGCTAATAATAAATTATTAAATGATAAGATAAAAATGAAATGTCAGCCACAATAATCATTGAATTTGTTGTTATGTAATATCTTTATGTAGCTGACTATACACGAAGTGCATTAATTTATAAAATAACATCTAACCTATTTAATACTTATTTAGTAAAAATTATATTTACAAACTATTGAATGGAAATATGGAATATGTCGATTGATTGGGATGAATAGTAGCCTATGTCTTTCGTCATCCCAAAGAGAAAGCACCAAGAGGTAACAAACAAATTTATTTTTATATTTATAACATAAGTGAAGATATTAATTAATAATAATAATAATAATATAATTTATTTGCTCAAATATGGGTATTACAGATGTTATATTAATAGGTTATTACGCCTCCATATTTTACCATAAATGGCGTGCAAATCTTCTTTTAATATAAATGTTACTAAATTTCATATATCACAATGTCTTAATTATAATAGATTACAGAAAAAAAAAACATTACATCAAAATTTGTCTTGTCTCTTGTCTCATGAGAATACAACGCAGTCATTTATCGTTTGTTTAATTTTTAAAACTATCTATCATATATTCATTTAGAGTCTGTGTGCTTTGTCTATTAGATTTTTTCTTTAGTTCCTTCTTAAATAGATGCAAATGATTAATGTCTTTTATATATTGGGGCAATTTATTGTATACTTTCAGACCCATGCAGAATATACTATTATTGTATACTGACATCACCAAATGATAAAAACATTTTTTTCAGCTGAACCAAGAAACCCACAGCGTATTGTAGGTGGGTCCGTAACAAATATTAATAGTTACCCTGATATCGCGTCTCTGTTGTATTCATGGAATGGTGTCACATTCAGTCAATCCTGTGGAGGGTCCATCCTAAACCACAGATCCGTCCTATCTGCCGCTCACTGCTTCTAGTAAGTTGATATCCAATAAACCAACAGAAAGCATTGTCAACTTTAAGGTTTAATACACTAAGCTGATATCCGCTGTGGCTCGTATAGCTTTGCAGAATGTCGTCCCGAATTTATAACTTATTTTTTATGATACTAAGAACAGCAACTATGCTGATGGCCCACTTGATGTAATGATAATCTTCGTAATACATGAAAAATACAATAGGCATCACAGAATACACTGTGACAGCTATGGTACCCCTCATGCAGGGCATTATCTGAGAGATATGCTGTTATGTCTGTGTAACTTCTCACTCGGTAATTTCGCTCCCATATCCCACCTTTCAAATTGAAATGTAAGCGTGCAAGCATAATGGCTTCACAAAAGAAATACGAATGAAACAATGGTACATGCATAGTATACAATTTTTGCACAAAATCTGCCACTGGTAAACGTAAACATTTCTAAATTGTTTACAGTTTGTCTGATAGGGATTATACGGGATTATATTTATTAAATTCGATGTCTAAGCTATAAACCAGGACGGTTTATGGATCGGGCAATTTTATTCTTATACGAACGATAATTTTATTTGCTTGAATACAAGTTATTACTTTACAAGTATTTAATGTTAAAAACAATATCTGTATGTTCGACCGTGTTGTGTGCAAATATTTAATTTGAAATTTGTACTTAAAACTTTACATTTTATATTTCAAGTGTGTAAAAATATTAATGTGTTCTGTAAATTTAAAAACCAATTTTTATACGAAGTAATTTGCTGACCTGATCCAACAAATTACATTATTTGTTGGATCAGGTCAATTATCATATATTTACAGCGGTGATCCGGCTAATAGATGGCGCATTCGTGTTGGTTCCACCTACGCCAACAGCGGTGGCGTTGTTTATAATATAGCTTCCATCATAAACCACCCCCTATACAACGTTGTGACCTCAGATAATGATGTTTCCATCTTGCGTACTGCTACAAACATTGTCTTCAGCAACGTAGTTCAAGCTGCCAGTATAGCCAGTGCCAATTATAATCTTGCTGATAATCAAATCGTTTATGCTGCTGGATGGGGTACCACATCTGTGAGTATATCTCTTATTCTTCTACGACTATTTGTAAGTATCAATCACGACGGTAAGGGATGGGCAGCAGCGTTCCTCTTAAAATATCTCTAAAGCCTGACTGCGGTTGCCTATTCGCCTGCGAAGCGTGGAAACTACTGGCAACCCCCCCCCCCTCCCCCAAGGGGGAAGCCTATATTCAGCTGTGGACAGTTAAATGATGATGATGATTTCAATGATGTCTATAGGCGGAGGTTATTACTTTCTATCAGGTGGGCCGTCAGCTTGTTTGCCGTTCTAAGTTGTGTAAAAAAATCTCATTATTCAATGCTGATTAAAAAGGTTGAACGTGATTATTTTTATGTGATTTACAATGTCATAGACAACCTATAAATAATTTCAATGGAAGTTAAAATGTAAAGGAATAATTGGTCCGACCATAATACATTCTGCTGATGTTTAATAGTAATACAAAATTAGAAATCGATTCATATAGGTATTTAATATTTTAATTCATTCCTATTTTCATAAAGAGATACTAACCACTGTTAACTAACATCATAATCCATAGAATAGCCTAAACATTAGATGAAAATGCCATTTAAACGTAGTTTACCATAAATAAATTGACATGTATTTTTTTTTATTTTAATATATTTTTTTCTATTTTAGTACGGCGGGCCAAGTTCGGAACAGCTGCGTCACGTGCAAATCTGGACTATCAATCAAGCAACGTGCAGAAACCGTTACGCTGAGCTCGGACTTACTGTGACCGACAACATGTTGTGCTCCGGTTGGTTGGACGTCGGCGGTCGCGACCAGTGCCAGGGCGACTCTGGCGGTCCCCTCTACCACAACAGAGTCGTCGTCGGCGTGTGCTCCTGGGGTGCGCAATGCGCTCTCGCCCGCTACCCTGGTGTCAACGCTCGTGTGTCCCGGTTTACTGCATGGATCCAAGGAAATGCATAAATGTATTCAAAAATCTGCCTAGTCAATCGTTTTATTTTAAAATTATTCTCTGTAAGAATTGTTCAATATACAATTTTATTTATTTATTTTCATATTTGTTTCATTAAAGTATTAAACGATTCAATTATTAAATATGACGACTCCTTCCTTATTTTTTGTGAAATCCTACTTATATTACAAATGTGAAAATTTGAATTCCATATAATTACAAATATTATTTAATTACGCTTACGCTAAAAAGATTTTAATGGATTTAGTACACAAATTATTCAAACATTTTCAATAGAATGTGCTTTTTTGCTCTTTCTATATATTTGATATAAAAAGGTAATAATAATTACTTTTTTAAGGAATCAGAATTTAGATATCTTGAACAGATTTCTTACAAATACATAATTGTAAATAAGACACATAACGACAAACCCGCCTTCAAATAACGAGAATCGAGTTGAAATCGATTCATCCATTTAAGAGCTATGATATAACAAAGCTTCTTATAACATTATTACTTTGGGAATGAATAAGATTGTTAACAATCATTTACAAAAAAAACCAACTCATTTTAATATGTATGTATATATATATATATATATACACACACACTATATATATATATATATATATATATATATATATATATATATTGAAATTACAGTTTAGGAATTTAAGACTATTAAGACTGATAGAATTTTTACTTAAAACTTTAAACGCCAATGTTATGTAATCCAGCCAATGGTCAACATTCCAACAGTTCGAGAACAATCCATTAAGGATTAGTTTCGAAGAGAAACCAAACACAATACTTCGCAAAAGAGCCAGTACACTGTAACAATTGCAGCATTATATCGAGGTTGACATATTAATAGAGCACCACAGTATTTACGTAATAAAAAAAAAATCTGTAAAAAGTATCCGTTGTATGGTTACTACTCATATAATTATTCAATATTGTGTCCAAGAAAAAAAATCGACTTCAGTTGTAACACAACGAATTATTTTAATGTAAAAACAAAACTATTAAACTGGTTCTGATAAAATTTCTACGAGACCAATCTGTAAATAGGCATATCCTTTCAGATAAAACAAGAATTTTCCAAACGGTTAACAACTATCGGAATTATAAGATAACAAACATAAACAAAAAAATATAACCGAATCTTCTTCTTCTCTAGAACCTCTTTCTTTTTAAAGTTGGTTGAAAAAAATCCGCATTAGAACTTATCCATACAATAAGATATATGATGCACTGGATACTCAGTTAAATTAAGTAAATGAATAAAATACTCAGTTCATGTTACTGGCTGATAATGTAGCTTTCTATAGTTGTAAGAATTTTTTAAAATCGGTTAAGTATTTTTAATGTTCATCCATTACAAATAAACAATATATTTTTTTCTCTTTATTACATATAGTTTAGATTTCATTCTACGTCTGTGATTCACAATGGGGAAATACTACTGTCTGAATTACGACACTTAAATTTAATAATAAGATTCTTCGTGATTTAACACGATGATATTGGTACTTTAAAATTGTTTTACAATACAAATTAGGTACTTACCTATTAGATAAGTAGATTTATTGAAAAAACATTATTATAATGATCAGCATTATCAATATCACAGCCATTATCTGTCCACTGCTGAACATAGGCATCCCCCACAGACTGTTATAAGGAATGGTCCTGAAATACCTGCATCCTATAATGCATTTGAGGAAGTTGAAAATTCAAAATATTAAATTGTATGTTTCTTATATTTTATATCCTTTTTTTTATACAACTTAGAATGGCAAACAAGCTGACGGCCCACCTGATGGAAAATGGTACCCGTCGCATATAGACATGAGCAGTACCATGGACATAACAGAGTATACTGTTTCGCCCATGATACCCCCCATGCGTTGTCATTCCTGAGGACTCAGGTGTTATTCCTCTATACCCAGTAAATTCACGCCATATCCCACTCTTCAAACCGAAACACAGCCATGCAAACACAACTGCTTCACGGTTAAAACACGAATGGGACAGAGGTACCTAAGCAATCGACTTTTGTACAAAGTCTCCCTCTGGTATCTATCCTTAATCATTTCATAAGTCATGTCTGAATGCTAACCGCTGAGTTAAAATTACGAAAATTATAAGAAGTTAATTTAGTTGATATTTTCTCTGTGTAAAATAAACGAAAAAAAAAGTATTTTGCGAAAAATTATCAGGTTACCTGACTTAAAACTTAATATGAAAGTCAATAAAATTTCAACTTAAAAGATTGTATTTAGGATTGTAGTATGAAACTAAATCATCTATAATAAAACTAAGGAAAAAGCATTTCAAATTTTAGGTGAATTTATTTTTTAAGGAACTAAAATCAAGGATGTATAAGAAATCTGTTGAACGAAAGATTCTCAGTTTTATATTTAAATTAATAAAAACTAAATTCATAAAAATTTTACATTTGTTTTATTATTTTTTCAAGTCGACAGCCTAAATCTTACTAATATAATAAAATTGTAACTGGACGATGTCTGTACATGGAAGATAATATAAAAAAAATAATGTAAGGGATTTTAATAGAAGCAAAAGAAGCCACAAGGACGTCTTTTAAAAATTTTGTCTGTCTGTTCCGTTTTCACTAATGTATTCCTGAAAGCCTAAATTAAATTAAATACTGGGGAGAAAGGGATTGTTAGCAATAGAGAGTAGCAATATGCCCTATCAGGGCGACCTCCGCGTGGTTCCCCCTGGAAACCATCGTGAACAATTCTTGTTGAATTCGTCACGATGGGCTAACTGACCTGCTTCATCTCATCTATCATCCCTCACTGGTGCCCCGCCGATGTATACCAATAGCGCGGGTGGGGTTACCATTCCATTATCACCCATTAAAAAAAATACTGGTGTATGTTTTATTTTAATGTATAAGGAGTATATTTCAACAGCTTTACTAGTTTTCAAATACGCGCGTATGAAGTAGCGGGCAAAAAGCACGTTTGGAATAATTTTTTTATATAATATCTCAAATAGTTTTGTTGTGGTATTTTTTGAAGTAAAAATATTTTATTTTAATTAAAAAAATACCATAAGACTTTAGAAATACTTTTTATTTATGCTACATAAAGAGACTTTATTATTTTCATACCGATGCTTCACAGGCAACTACATTATTATTTATTATATATAATCACATTTTTATATATACTATATTAATAGTTAACCAATACTTATATATAACCTTGCAAATTATTAAAAATAATAATTAATTTATAAATATAATCTTTTATATTCTACCTCTTGGTGTAAAATCGAGTCTTTTTTTATGTAACTTAGAATGGCAAAAAAGCAGACGGCCCACCTGATGAAAAGTGGTAACCGTCGCCTATAGACATGAGCTGTACTATAGACATAATAGAAAATACTGTTGCGCTCATGATACCCCCCATGCGTTGCCATTCCTGAGGACTCAGGTGTTATTTCTCTGTACCCGTAAACTTTTGAATAGGACAAAGTCTCTCCTCTGTCTTGCTTTTCATAATTAAAATAAAAAATTAACTTGTACAATAATTCTATAATAACGTATCGTGTCGTATCGGCCGTTAACTGTCCACTGCTGAATATAGAACTCACTCATAAGAGGGAGTTTTCCAGTAGTTGCCATGCTTGGCAGGCGGATTGGCAACCGCAATTAAGCTTTGATGAGGTTTTAAGAAGGGTGCTGCTTGATTATTAAGTTTCCTTAGTCGCCTCTATTTAATTAATGATATATTAAGTTCTATCTTCATATATTTTTTATTCAACTTTTATATTATAACAATTTAAAGAAGGAATATATATATATTTTATGTAGATCCTAATTATAATATAATTGTGTAACGATAATAGCTTAACCCTCCCTTAATTACCTCTGTTTATGGGACTCCTAGACTACACAGCGATATTAATAAAAAGTAATGAATTCAAATTTTTAGTAATAAATTAATATTTTTTTTTTTTATTATTACTTGCCAACAAGGTTGTAAAAAACGTAAACCCATAGATAAATATATTGATAATTATTGATTGACCATAGATTAATACACGTATATTTAAAAAAAATATAAATCGAATAAAAAAAGTTTTAATACTTACAATACATTATAGACAATTTTATGTGTTGTTATATTTATTTATTTACATTTTTTTTTATTTACACTTATAACACATAATGCTTAGAATTTTTAATACTCGTAATGTCCACTTGCTTCTAATTCAATTACATAGCATACTTATTTCTCAGCACCTACTCGTACAATGCAAAGTGGGTTTTTCGTTCACAACAATACAAGGAAAACCTCTATAGATACCATTATCGTGCAAAAGTTTTTGGCACAATACTTTAAAGGTATTAGTTATTAGATTATGCAGATTAATAAAATCAATCTGATTATAAAAGATAACAATTAATGTGATACCGTCGTAAAGGTATAAATATCGAGTGTTCGTATCTCTTTTATGTGTGAGGACTTTCTGAAGTGACGAGGTCAAAATGCGTTTCGTATTTGTGTGGCTAGCTATCATCGCTGCTGTTGCAGGTGAGTGTTACAAATATAATATTTAAATTTTTTCTATATTGTATATTAAAACATATATTTATATTGTTAATCGATCCTATTAATATTATTGTGAAAGTGTTTAATGATAAATCGATAGATGGATGTTTGTTACTTTTTCAAGCATAAACAACTGAACAGATTTGAACGAAATTTAATGCACTCGTAGGATATATCCTCTTAGTATGTAGAATACTTTATATAATAATTTACGTAAGCGATGCCATGAGATACAGCTAGTTGTTAATAATATTTAAACTATTTTAGTGTTCTGAATTGTAAATTTCAATGTTTATTGTCCAGTTTGCCATAAATTATTGTATTCCATTGTTTCGAATATCTTTCAGTGTTAAAATACAAAACACATTTTCAATTTGTTTTGTTATTTCATTAATGAAATTAAATTAAAAATTAATATACAATTATTAACCAGTGCTAATGCGATTAATTAATGAATTATTATTATCATGAATGTAATTAAACGTTTTAGGATTTTTTTATTTGATCACTTACTTAAAATGCTGATGAAATTAACCGATTCAGAAGCTACTTTACAAGTAATATATTCTGTAGTAAGATAAATATAATATCTTAATAATAATAGAAGCATCTTAAAGTGCATACAACTTGGATCGATTTAATATGTGTTCCTAAATTTACTATTTAATAGTAGGGTTTTTTAAAAGTCAAAAACAACTAACAAGGTTTATATTTTCAGCCGTACCTAGGAACCCGCAGCGTATCGTAGGTGGTTCAGTTACGAACATCAACAGCTACCCAGAGATCGCTGCACTCTTGTACTCATGGAATGGTGCCACCTACAGCCAAGCCTGCGGTGGATCTATCCTCAACAACAGATCCATCCTGTCTGCTGCTCACTGCTTTGTGTAAGTACCTATATATTTGAATGACGCTATTTCTAAATAATTGATTATTTTTGATAAACTTTAGGTCTAATTTTGATAGATAGTTTGATGCTCCTTGCTTAGTTTAATTAGTATATAAACAATTTTACCGTTAGTTTATTTTATCAAAATAGCATATTGTTGCGTATTATTGCGGTTGGCAACCTTAGTTAGGCTTTGGACTTTATCCCTCGACTATTAATTCTAATAAAATTATATATGAATAAAATAAAAAAATAAATGAAAAAGCTTTTTTTATTATTTTTTTTATTGTTGTCTGGGTCTTTAGAACGACTCCTAGCTTAAACTGGACTGTGTTTAATATTTTGTCTAAATTCAGAAACGCCAAATCTCACTAAATCTAAATTCTCAACCACCAACTTTAATCAATTTTGTTTCTTTTCAACTTTATACATTTATATTCAAATTGCAAAATGTTTATATAATACGCAAAATAATTACCATGTTTTTTATTTCTTATTTTTATAATAAAACCAGTCAAGAATTTATTAATTTTTTTTTAAATTAAGTAAGAAAAAACAATTTATACTAATACATATCGTATATTTACAGAGGTGACCCAGCCAACAGATGGCGCGTTCGCGTTGGCTCTACCAACGCTAACAGCGGTGGTGTTGTTTACAATGTCGCTTCCATCATCAACCACGGCAGCTACAACAGCTGGACCAACGACAATGACGTCGCCATCTTGCGTCTCTCCTCCAACCTTGCGTACACCAATGTCATTCAGCCTGCCAGCATTGCTGGGTCCAATTACAACCTCGCTGACAACCAAGTCGTTTATGCCGCTGGATGGGGTGCCATATCTGTGAGTTACACGTATCTATTTTTATACAATCCACATTAGAATTTATGTCTGTATTTAAAAGAAAATACTAAAGTTTTACATGCAATGAAATTATGCGCATATATCTTGGATAGATTCTTTGTAGGACATGTGCCTGGCTCAATTTATATTTTTTTTTATGCAGTGTAGAATGGCAAACCTGATAGAAAGGATTAATGCTCACCAATAGACATTAAATCACCATGGTCTCATAGACATCATCATTAAAATGTTCTTCAGAACTTTCTTCGTAGCTTCTAATATTACTAATATCCCACCCATCAAAACACTAAAACCTACTTGTGTAGGACAGATGCATACAACTTTTCACTACTTCTTTCTAATTATTAGATCGATAAAATATTGTAACAATAACAAAACAATGTCAATCAATAGCTTAAAGAATAATCTTTAAGATTTATTGAAAAATACACCAACAAAAAAGCGAAATGACATTGTTTATAATAAAATTGAGTAGCCAGACTTTACTTTCAGCTAGCAGTGCCGTTTTAATGAAACATTAATAGAGAGAAGGCAATTTTAGAGTTACATATATTAAGGGAATGATATTTCAGAGTCGTTTCAATGTATCGGACTCCTACATTTATTGTCATATTTACAATTGTTTTGTATTTTAGGTTGGCGGTCCAGGCTCAGAACAGCTCCGTCACGTACAAATCTGGACTGTAAACCAAGCGACATGCAGAAACCGTTACGCTGAGCTCGGACTTACTGTGACCGACAACATGTTGTGCTCCGGTTGGTTGGATGTCGGCGGTCGCGACCAGTGCCAGGGTGACTCTGGCGGTCCCCTCTACCACAACAGAATCGTCGTCGGTATTTGCTCTTGGGGTACACAGTGCGCTCTCGCTCGCTACCCTGGTGTCAACGCTCGTGTATCCCGGTTCACAACCTGGATCCAGGCCAATGCTTAAATCGTGCCATTGAAATATCTGCCCGGTCTATGTTCATTGTGATAGCAATAAATATAGACTAAACAGATTACTTATTATTCAATACTTTTTGGAATTATTAATTAATTAGTCATTAATTAATTAATAATTAATTATTATTTTACAATGTTTTTTGTAAGAACAATTAAATATACAGATATTCTGAATTATAATTATTACGTTTCATTTTATTAGATAACATTCTATGCAGTTTTTCTGTATTGTGATGCATAGGATTACCTATATTCCTTATTGTAATGTTATTTTTAAAGTGAATATCTCCTTATTTGTGGAACTACAAACCTTTTATATAAACTGTACCAATATATCAATGTGGTATGGCCTTTCCCATGACATATTTCCTTCGTCCTATAATCACGGACCTTTCAAACGAAGCATGAGAAGTAGAATATTCTTTTTTAATCCCTAAGGATAGTGCGGTCTTATGTCATATTGTAATAAAAAAAAATAGATTTTAACACATGTAGATAATAAATTATTATAATCTTATAAAGCCAACATGACGTCCTATAAGACACGTCAAGGCCCTTTGTGACCAATTTTAGCCTAGACGCTCTGCACAACCAAGACCACCACTAAGAATAGTTAAATTTATTATAATTTTTTTTATACCACGAAAGTGGTAGACAAGCATATAACCTATCTGATATTCAATGACTACTGTAACCTACGAACGCCTGCAACACTAGGGGCGTCACGTGCGCGTTGCCGATCCAATAATGTTGGGTCGTTAAATAAATAACAATTATGAAATAATATTCGAAAATTTAAAATTATATATTGAATACACGCAAGTATTTATACACTTGCATAATATACGATATGATATTTGTTATCAGCATCTTTTGGACTTAATAGATTTAGATAAAATTTGCCATATAAATATATACTTTAATATTATGTTTTCACGGTATATTTAACAATATCTACTGATAATGATTAGTTCAAAATATACGAGTATATCAGAATTGTTATTTTAAATTTCCTAGATCTTTCAATATTTTTATAATGTTTATTTATAATATAAAACACAGTCTTCATAATTTAAGATTTTTTACACAAATTACAACATCTTTAATCGTCACGTAATTGATATTGGATTATCACGGAAGTGTAAGAAGAAAACCAAAAGAACAGATGCTCTTTAGTATAGTATGAAACATAAGTGGAAATGGGCAGGTTATATAACGAGGTACAAAAATAAAAGGTGGACTCTCCGAACAACAAAATGGCGAGGTGAAGGCAACGAAAGAAATGGTCCGATGACATAATAAAGACATTAGGATAAAACTGGACAAATATTGCTACAGTAAGGAGAAGTGAAAAAAATGGAGAAGGCTTTTACCCTTGGGGACCATTGAACTGGAGAAAAAGCTATAATAATAAATAAACACGGAAGTAAACTCCATTCCGATAATAAATTGTTAAAAATATGGCGGAAAATTTTGACACAAAAAATACTTTCGATTACATTTTTGTAGTCATTTAAACTCTAACTCTTAGTGCTTGTTATTAACAAAATAATTTGTCTACCTTTCAATTCTACTGCAATCTAATTCATTTATAGTTATATCCAGCAGTAATAAATGTAATATTATCGTATTATTTAAAAATAATAAAAAAAAAATTAGAGACGTACTTATATAATTAATACGATTAACACTGAAAGATAGTATACATATAACGGATATAAAAAAATATTACAAATACTTTTTCTAAATTAAGTAATATATAATCTAACAAATGCCTCTGACTACCTCGTTAGGAAATATAGTCGACAGCATACTGACTTATTTTATTTGTTATGATCTATTTATCTAAGTCCCTACATCAAAAATGTTTTAATATTATAGTAAAATAAATTATTGGTGATTCAATATGTCACTCGACAGATGCAATTCTCCACAAATATTATTATTTGCCTTTAAACCTTTACTATTACAATTTAATTTGAGTTTTTAGTAGTATTCCTTTTATGCTTCATTTTTGAAGAATTCCATGCTGTATTATGAAAACTAGTTGGGTCTAATATCTTCATTGTTAGCAATGTACTCTGTCAAGTCGATGAATTACTTAAGATAATTGAGCTGGACCTCTAGGCAAGTGGCAACGGAATCCATCGATGAAATCGCCATTGATGACGAGTTTATGAGATAGAAAGAGATAGCGACGTCTAACGTCTCATTCCAGCTTATAGACTCGCTTGTAATAACAATTCCATCGATGGATTCGTTTGTCAATTGTTTAAGGGGCTGACTTCATATACTCCTACCTATCTTTCGATATTTCCCGCCAATCTATACCGTGGCACGAGCGAGATTACTTTTCCATTTTCGTCTTTAAAACAAAAGTTAAGAAGTTTCTCTAAACTGTGTCTTAGTCTATATACTATATCTGAAGAAGGTCAGACTTTTTTCTCGACATATTGTGGATCCACAACACCTTATAAATTAAAACAAATTGTTAACCGTTCGTGAAATGAAATGGTGAAAATTGAAAATAATCGTCTGCAGTGGTTGCTAGTGGACTGTATTATGTTTTACGAAAATTGTATAGAAATTATGAACACAAGAGGATTATGAGGGTGGAGATCGCTGACATGAATTTTTGTAGCTTACAGGATTCAGCTCTGGCGTTAGGCTTCCCAGAACTTTTGGTCCATTCGAACTTACCTTCAGATCCGGTTACCTATCCACCGCCTTGAACAGACCCGCAGTGTAGCGCCCTCCACTTAATCAACCTTTTGGTTGTAGATAAACTCCAACTACTACTACTATCGACATTCCTATTACTACCGGTTTTTTTTTTAATTGTTGCCAGACGAAATATATCAAGTTACAATTCTTAACACTAATGATGACCCACTTTATTCTCATCTGTTTCGTTGCAATGGTATATCAAATATTACATTAAAGTTATATATTCTGTAATAGGTAAACATACAGTCAGCTACTTTTTTTCTTTATTTTTTTAATAGATGATAATTGAATGGTAACTCCGCCTGCGCTTATGGTTTACGCTGGCGGGACTCCAGTAAGGAATGATAGATGAGAATGAAAAAGACAGATTAGTTAGCCCATCGTGATGAATATACTCGGAATTCAGCAGGATGATTTCCAAGGGGGACCACGGGGAGGCCGACCTGGTAGAGTATATTGCTAGCCTGTTGCTAGCTCTCCTTAATCTCCATTTCTACAATCCCTTCCCCCCTACAGACAGCGTCTAGTCAATTGTAGTACTTTTTTTATCGTGAGGGAAATGCTTCATGCAGACTCATACGCCCCGGGGGAGACGTATGGGTACCGCCGAACTCCTACCGGCTAAAACCCACCACGGCAATCCCTTGCCGCGTCATAGTGTTGGGGTACTGGGTACCCTTTCGTAGGATACCGAGATCCCCAACGGCAGTCAGTAGTAGTACCTAAACAATTTCTAACTAATACACCTGTTACACGATTATCCGTATGCAAAAGCTTCAAATTACTCAGCGGTCTATGGAAAGAACTATGTCTAGAGTCTCTTTGCGTGACAGAATCTGAAACGAGGATATCCGCAAAAAAGAACCAAAGTAACCGACATATCCCGAAGGTGAAATAAGCTGAAGTGACAATGAGCTGATCACATAGCTTGTAGCTCATAACCGACAACTGATGAGAAGGAAAGGTTCTTAAGTGGTTACCCCGTACAAGCAAACGCAGTGTGGAACGACCCCCCACTAGGTGGAATGACGACCTCAAATTGCAGGAAGTCAGTGGATGCAGGTGACTCGGGACCGTTTCTTATGGCTGTCTATGTGGGAGACCTATGTCCAGCAGTGGACAAATAATGGGTGAAATAATGATGATGATGACACCTGTTATCGCCGAATGATTCCGACATAGAATGGACCACTCCATTCTTTCTCGTAGGTGCCGTAAAAGGCGACTAACGACAGCAACATCGCTCTATAAACATCACCAAAACCTAACTGTAGTTGCCAACCCACTTGACTCACTCATAGCAACAACTGGCTACCCCCTCCCCCTTCCCCACCCTCCTCCAGAGAACGCCTATTTTCAGCAATGGATAGTAAACAGCTGATATGGTTACACTTATTATCAATTAAGGAAATCTTTTACTAATACAGTTGATGTTTGTTTTTGTTGATATTTACTATTTTGAGGGAATTTTAAATAATAAATGTGTCATACATTATATCAATTGTTTATAGGTAATATTTTAACACTAGAAAAACTTAAAAATTTTCCTACCACTAAAGGCAGCCAGGGGTCATATGACCTCAAGTTACCAAATTCTGAACTCGTTTAAATGTCTGTAAATAAAAACAAACGGTTATTTGTGAGTTGAACTCACTTGCTGGAGGTTCCGTACATAAAATATTTTTATTTTTTTTAGATAAAATAAAATACTTTGAACATATTGTACACTCACCATTGCTTCAAAAATACTCCGAAACGCCAAGATAAATTAAATCATTACATGATGAACGTATTAACATATGAAATATAATAACATATGATATAAAATGATCTCCTTATTGTATTTTATGTGCAACTAGCGATCCGCCCCGGTTTCGCACGGGTGAAATGCCAAATAATGTGTTTATTTACCACATCACATTAGAACCCTCTGAAATTATTAGTGTTTTTCTACTATATTATGCATATATTATACATATAAACTTTCCTCTTGAATCACTCTATGTATTAAGAAAAAAACTGCATCAATATCCGTTGCGAATTTTTAAAAATCTAAGCATGCATACATGGGAACAGACGGGAAGCGACTTTGTTTTTTACTATGTAGTAATACTATCTGATAATTATTATTATTTTTATTTCAATTACAAATTTCATATTTAGGCCATAACTATAGCTAGAAACCCGGTCGCAAAATTAAGTTTGTTTTCGCAGTTTTTTATCTAATCCTTTATAACTATGGTAAATATAAACATCATTTTATTTTTGTAATATTTACGTATACCTTTATAAATAATAATTATTTTAAACTGTTAGCTTTAAAAATTTCGGAGATAAGGGAAGAGGGGGTGGCTTTTCTCACATTTTCGATTATAATTAAAAAATTACGCAGATTAAGAATAAAAAAATAAATAAAATATAGATGGGGAATCATGTGAAAGGGCTTCATTTCTACATCTAGACTAGTAAGTACATTTTTAAATTATGTGTACCTATTTTAGGCTCTCTAGCAACAAAATATTTTTTTTTTTTTTATTATTTTCCTAAAAGAGGCATTTAGTGACAAAAATTAAATTAACAATAACAAATACAAGTATGTATATTTAACTGATTATATGGACCACGTAAGACTTTTTTACAAATGTCACAGACCTTATTGGTTTTATTTTTATACACAGAAATATAATTAGCAGTTTCTTTTTCTTGTAGTTGAACCTAAATTATAAAAAATCGGTCACCTGTACTGGTGACGGTATTAAATTTGTAGACATTGATTTTACCGACAGATTGTTAATTTCATATACTAATTGTAGAATGAAATGTCGCCTATGATTTTTTATTAATTACTTTCTAATACAAACCCCATACATTTAAGGGTGCAAGATTGTATTATCAATCAGCAGCAACAACAAATTTTTGCCCAATTTGTCTTCTTGCATAAGATATAGGCTAGTTGATTGGTCAAAATATTGTGTACACATTGGCTGGACCGAGAACGATTACTTTCAGTTGAAATTACATATAGGTTCATATACACACACATCAAATAGTTTAATAAAATTCAACGGAACTCTTAAGTGAATATTGATTTATTAAGAAAACTTCAAAATAGGTCTAATGACCCTCAACCCGTCTTCCTAGTGTTGAAGGTATTGTTTGTTTAGATTAACAAAATCAATCTGATTATAAAAGATAACAATTACCATAATAATACGGTCGTAATGGTATAAATATCGTGTGTTCGTTACTCTGTTATGTCTAAGGGCTTTTTGAAGTGAAGAGACAAAATGCGTTCTATAATTGTGTGGTTGACTGTCATCGCTGCTGTTGCAGGTAAGTGTTTTAACACTTGAATTATTCTACAATATAGAAAAAATAATATTTTATTTGTAATTAAAAATATTTACACCAAAACTATAATTAAGGTAGTAGTGGAGGCAAGAAAAAATATTCAATAAATGTAGTAAGCAATTTTTTCATTCTTTATTGCATTTGTTAACAAACTTGTACTATTATTATTATTATGTTATTATTCACATTTAATATTATTTTTTACTTAATAGCTTATTTAATATTAATACTAATATACTTAACTATTGCAATATACAAAAACTACAAATTAATAAATGAAAACGTGATGTACAAACGCACTTAAAACTTGTCTGATGAACGCATAAAATCGAACGCATAAAAAAGATAATTGTAATCGAATCAAATTTAATAGGATACTTTAGTTGCTTGTTTCTTTCTTTCTTTATAAAGTCAAAAATAATTGACAACATTTATATTTTCAGCCGTACCTAAGAACCCGCAGCGTATCATAGGTGGTGAACTTACCAATATCAATAACTACCCAGAGATCGCTGCACTCTTGTTCTCATGGAACGGTATTGCATACAGCCAAGCGTGCGGTGGATCTATCCTTAACAAGAGATCCATCTTGTCTGCTGCTCACTGCTTTGTGTAAGTATATATTTATATAATACTATTTCTAAATAGAATTATTTTTATCTAAATTTTGACAAATATTTACTCATCTATTTTGTTGCAACTTGAAGAATTTTAATAAATAGGAATTAGATTTGTATCAAATTTGGAAACGCTTTAGACTAAAAAAAAGAAAGAAAGTGTTATATATATTTGATTTTATTTTAACTTTTATATTATATTTAACATACAAAAAATGATAGTGTTTTATAAATCATGCTATTGTTTCATCATCATCATCATCATCATATCAGTCTTCAACTGTCTACTGCTGAACATAAACCTCCCCCTTGGGGGGTTTTGCTAGTAGTTGCCATGCGTAGCAGGCGGATTGGCAACCGCAGTTAGGCTTTAGAGATGTTTGAAAAGGGGCACTGCTGCCCATCTCTCGCCCTCCCTTAGTTGGCTCTTACGACACCTAAGGCTTAGGGAGGGGTGGCCTATTCTATGCCGAGACCATATGGCCGTGCTATTATTTACAAAATATATAATTTATAAGTAAAATAGGTTATACTAATATATATATAATACATGTCCTGCTTTTACAGCGGTGACCCAGCAAACAGATGGCGCGTTCGCGTTGGTTCTACCAACGCTAACAGCGGTGGTGTTGTTCATAATGTCGATGCCATCATCACCCACGGCAGCTACAACAACGGGACCAACGACAATGACCTCTCTATTTTGCGTCTCTCCTCGAACCTTGTGTACACCGATGTCATTCAGCCTGCCAGCATTGCTGGATCCAGTTACAACCTCGCTGACAACCAAGTTGTCTATGCAGCTGGATGGGGTGCTACATCTGTAAGTTTCACGTATCTCTTCTTATATGTATAAGAAAACAACAACAAGAGAACAACAACAAGAAAGTAAAATCACATTGTTTATAATAGATGTAAATAACCAGCTTCATCTAGCAATGTAGTTGTCGAACAAATACTAATAAATTTAAGACAATTTTAGAGAATATTATAATTTCAGACTTGTTTCAATGTACCAGACTCCTATTTGGGCATATTTAAAATTTAGAATTATTTTGTACTTTAGGTCGGCGGTTCTGGCTCTGAACAACTTCAACACGTACAAGTCTGGACTGTGAACCAAGAGATATGCAGGAACCGTTACGCTGAAATCGGTCATGCTCTAACGGACAACATGTTGTGCTCCGGTTGGTTGGATGTCGGCGGTCGCGACCAGTGCCAGGGCGACTCTGGCGGCCCCCTCTACCACAACAAAGTCGTTGTCGGCGTGTGCTCGTGGGGTGCGCAGTGCGCTGTCGCCCGCTACCCTGGTGTTAACGCTCGTGTGTCTCGCTACGCAGCTTGGATTCGAGAAAATTCTTAAACAGCACCATTGAAATATCTGCTCAGTCTATATTCTTTGTATTAACAATAAATATAGACTATACAAATTTATTGATCTATATTAATTGGAATAAATATGTATTTTATAATTTTTTATAAAAATAATAAAATATACAAATATTCTGATATATATTTACGTTTCATTTTATTTGATAACATTCTACACAGAACTTTCAGTATATGATTGTATATAAGATTAGTAAACGCCTCTCAAATTCACATAATTAATTTTTAAACAAAGGGATTAAATTAGAGTGCACTTTTTTGTTTTATACAACTTAGAATGGCAAGCAAGCTGACGGCCCACCTGATGGACAGTGGTAACCGTCGCTTATAGACATGAGCAGTACCATGGACATAACAGAGTATACTGTTTAGCCCATGATACCCCCTATACGTTGCCATTCCTGAGGACTCAGGTGTTATTCCTCTGTACCCAGTAAATTCACGCCATTTCCCACCCTTCAAACCGAAACACAGCTATGCAAACACAACTGCTTCACTGTTGAAACACGAATGGGATAGAGGTACCCAAGCAATCGACTTTTGTACAAAGTCTCCCTCTGGTAACACAACGGCACAACCCTCACATGAGTAATTAAATTGAAATGGTTTTTTGTTATTAACTAAACGGAATACGCTGTAAGTACTAGTATTAAAACGCGCACTGCGTCACTTGTGCGCGTGGACAGCGGGCTCGATGAGTTGCGCCACTTATTTTACTAATACCGTAATTTTACCAATGAATTTTATCTACCTATTTTTAAACGTCGCGCTACCTTCTTGTCATTATTTTGATTGCATTGAGCTTAACCTTTAATTATGATCACGCATTGCAAATATTATATCAAGGGGGAAAGGGATTGTTAATAATGGGATCTAACAGTTTCATTGCTAGCAATATAACCTATCAGGTCGATCTTCACGCGGTTCCCCCTGAAAACCGTCGTGGTTAATTCTTACGGAATTCTTTATAATGGGCTAACTGACCTGATTTCACCCTCATCTATCACCTCTCATTAGTGCCCCGCCAGTGTATTGTATATCAATAGCGCAGGCGGGGTTACCATACCATTTTCATCCATTAAAAAAAATATTATATGGAATACACGCGATTATTTACATACTTGCATGTATTCGATATATTTAATATCAGCTTGTTTTTTACTGAATCATACACAAACTCCTTAATAAATTTGGATGATAAATTAGTTTATTGCCGTGTAATCCCAGCATAAAATAGGCCACCCCTTCCTCTCCCGTAAGTGTCGTAAAACGTGACTAAGGAAGGGCCAGAGATGGGCAGCAGCGTCCCTCTTAAAACATCTGCAAAGCCTAACTGCGGTTGCCAATCTACCTCCCAAGCGTGGCAACTACTGGCTTAACCACATTAGGGGTAAGCTTATGTTTAGCAGAGGATAATTAAAGCCTGATATGATGTTGACGATGATGGTGATAGAACGGATGTATTAATAATATATAGAAGTTTATTAACCCAGTATTATATTTCTATAATACCCATTGTTACAAACTCCTTTGTAATTTGTGTTTCAAATATTATATTCTTTTATTTGTTCATTTTTTTAATAAATTGTCAGTATAACTTTTCAACACGAACCGGCGTTTTCTTTCCTACAATCAGTTAAGAATACCCATACTTAATAATACCTATTTAAGGATAATCTTTAATACAATAAATGACAAATTTGCTACTTGCAATTTCTCAAATTTATGTCATAGTATTTTTAGGCTGTTCATTTAAATATCTTCAGTCTAAAATATTGCATTTATAAGATGAGATTTTGACCCAAAAAACGGTTTCTTCTATGGTCACAAAATTTATGTGAAACTAACACGGGAATGAACCCCGTTATCATAATAAATTAACAGAGACATTACATAGCATACGGACAAAAAATACTATTGAATCGACAACCTTCCTTTACCATTGTTCAAATCGCTTAAATTGTAAACCTCTTAATGCTTAATATTAACACATTAAAGGCAGAAGTTCAGGTACTACTATTTATCTCGACTGTAGCTTAAAGGCGAGAGTCGTAGTACTACGATTTATCTCGACTGTAGCTTAAAGGCGAGAGTCGTAGTACTACGATTTATCTCGACTGTAGCTTAAAGGCGGAAGTCGTAGTACTACGATTTATCTCGACTGTAGCTTAAAGGCGAGAGTTGTAGTACTACGATTTATCTCGACTGTAGCTTAAAGGCGGAAGTCGTAGTACTACGATTTATCTCGACTGTAGCTTAAAGCAAGGAATCGAAGTAATACAATTTATCTCGACTGTAGCTTAACCAGTTAACTGTGATTGACGAGTATACTCGTCAAGGAGAAGTGGCAAAATCACTGCGTTACCTAGCATACTTTTGTCAGATGTCAGATCTCCCGCCTTTAATGTGTTAACAAAATAAATGTGATATTTTCTATCCCTGAACTTTATATATATATGGACTGCATACATCAGTACTGGTTAGTACTCATAGTTGTGATTACTATCATATCATTAAACAATAATAAGATAGAGTGCCACTTTTATAACGACTGGGATTAGAAATAACCGACAGATAACGTGTATAAATGTATTAGTTTTATTTTTTAAATTAACTACCTTGTATATGATCTTTTTCTTTTTTTTTATTCAACTTAGAACGGCAAACAAGCTGACGGTCCACCTAATAGAAAGTAATAACCGTCACCTATAGATATGAGCAGTACCATGGACATAACAGAGTATAGTCTATGATTCATCCCATGCGTTGCCATTCCTGAGGACTCAAATGTTATTCCTCTGTACCCTGTAAATTCACTGCCATATCCCACCTTTCAAATCGAAACATGGTTATGCAAACACAACTGCTTCACGGTAGAATCACGAATGGGACAGAGGTGCCAAAGCAAACGATTTTCGAACAAAATCTCCCTCTGGTAATCTATTTCCTTAATAAGTCTAATTATCCCATTAAGAAAGACAGTCGTGAACATATTAATTTATTTTAATTATAATCTATGTGTCTGTCGCAACACCAAATAGCCTTTAACTTTATAATATATTTTTAATATTATGTTCAAATTATTTATTAACCTAATTGATCATCTGTCAATCGAGATTGAGACTAAATGTTGAGCCTTAATTTTTTTTTAACCACACTATCTTAATCCAATTAATTAATAAATGAAACTTTTTAAAAAAAAAATAGCCGTTTCGGTTGAACCATTGGAATTTCGACAGAACAGCGTTTGTCGGAAAAAAATATTTATAGGATAGGGAAAAAGGATTGTTTTTTATTCGATTTAACAGGCCTATTGTCACTACATAGTACTAAACTGTTATAAAGAATTAATCTAGTTAAATTGAGGCAAACTAGATTAATTCTTTATAACAGTTTAGTACGTAGTCGTTTGGAGTTTGCCTCTGTTTCCTGGAATCCAGTCTACAGCTCTTCATCTCAAAGAATAGAAAATATCCAACGAGCATTCACTAGACACCTAGCTTACATAACCCGTAACATATCGCATAGGCGACCTTATAGTCAGAGAATGTCCTTCTTTAACATTACCTCTCTTAAGACGCGTCGTATGATTGCAGATTTAATGTTTATTCATAAAATTCTCAATAATAAAATTCATTGTGCAGATTTACGGAGTTCACTCCAATTAACGGTACCTCTAAATTATCCTCGACACCCTATAACTAGAACATTTAGCTTACCGCGCTGCAGAACAAACCTAGGACTGCATCAACCTCTGGCCAGGATTGGTGCGTCATACAATGAAATTAATGCCAAATTACCTGAAATTGATATAGTGTACGATAATTTGAATTCCTACAGGAATAAATTGCTGAAGCACTTTGTACAACAATCTTATGAACATTAACTCTAATTGTCATAATATATATTTTTTTAATATTTTTTTTTAATTTAATTCACTCATAATCTTATTTTCTGATATTGCTCACAACTTAGATTACATGTTTATTTTTGTTATTTACTTAAATTTCTTACACTGTATAATTATGTTAAAGTGAATGCTGTGAATACCTATAATAGGCGTGTGCATTAATATTGTATTGTATTTAATGTTTGTTATACCTATATGTTATAATGCAATATGCTGTTGGTGTTCCTTAAATAAATAAATAAAATAAAAATAAAATACATAGTATAAATCAAAACCGCTTCCCGTCTGTCTGTCTCTATGTATGCTTAGATCTTTAAAACTACGTAACGGATTTTGATGCAGTTTCTTTTAATAGATAGAGTGATTCAAGAGAAGGGTTTATATGTATAATACATGCATAATATAATAGAAGAATACTGATAATTTTAAATATATCTAATGTTATGTGATGTAATGTGCACTCGTGCGAAACCGGGGCGGAATTCTAGTTGATAATGTACCTATGAGGTCGAACTCTACGCGATCTCCTTGGAAACTATCATCATTAATCCCCATGGGATTAGTCAAGATAGACTAACTGGCTTCAATTTATGATCATTTTACACCACAGCCTATTTATATAACGTATTTATAATTAATTTATACTGTTGTGGTTTAAAACAATAATCAAATATAATACACGTTCATTTCTGCTTTATTAAAATACATATATAATGTAAAATGTTAAAATCCATTCAATTTTTATATATTACATATATGTTAAATTATTATTTATTTACTCTTTATTGCAATACTTACAGATATAATAAAAAAACAGTGTATATATATATATATATATATATATATATATATATATATATATATATATATATATATATATATATATATATATATCTTATCGCTAAAGCAATCTTTTTCAAACAACCTTTGGGTATGTATTATGTATTATATTTGTATTATGTGTCTAAATAAACTATTATATATTTTTTTCTTCTTATACTAATAGCTCAACTAAATTTAGCGTTCCATTTTCATTTATTTTAAAAATATACAAGTATGTAATTTCTGTAAATTGTACCTTGCTGGAAGTATAATTTATCCGGAATTTTCCCTAATAGATTACAATAAAGGATATGTGATAAGAAATGGTGACTCATTGCATTCTCACATGTCTCGTTGCAATGTTATATCAAACAATTTATGAATAACTAACCATTTCCCGCAACGTTGCTTGCTTCTATGTAGTTTCCGTATATCATTCCGCCGTTTCTAAGATTTACGAGCACAAACGTCCATGGTATTACTCATGTCTATAGGCGACGGTTACCACTTTCCATCAGGTGGGCCGTCAGCTTGTTTGCCATTCTAACTTATATAAACAAAAATACAAACAGACAAAAATTCTAAAAATCATTGTTTTGTGTTCTATTATGTTCATCGTTTTTTTAATAAATTCTACTGCAAAGTGTGTGGGCCAATAATATTTAAAAGTATTCCAAATTCAAGCCAGTAAGATTAGTAGTTGCTACTGTTCGATTATACTAAGCAATATCGTTGTGACAATTGAACAGACGGACGGACGGACGGACTGACAAAGTCATCCCATAAAAATTGCTTTGTACTTTTTTGATACTAAACCCTAGAAGGAGCATTTAGTGGCAAAGTTAAATGAACAATGACAATGACTTTTACTAATAAAACTCACATACGAATATGTATATTTAACTGATTACATTGTCCACGTAATAGTTTTTTAAAACATGTCACAGACCTTATTGGTTTTATTTTTATACCCAGAAATATAAGTAGCAGTTTTTTTTTTCTTGTAGTTACACCTAAATCATAAAAAAATCGGTCACCTGTACTGGTGACTTTGTTGAACTTGTAGATTTACTTGTCTTGATTCTACCACAGACTGTTAAATTCATGCACTAATTGTATAATAAAATGACACCTATGAAAAAAAACAAAATAAGTCTAATGACCCCCAACTCGTCTTCCTAGTGCTGAAGGTATTGTTTGTTTAGATTAACAAAATCAATCTGATTATAAAAGATAACAATTACCATAATAATACGGTCGTAATGGTATAAATATCGTGTGTTCGTTACTCTGTTATGTCTAAGGGCTTTTTGAAGTGAAGAGACAAAATGCGTTCTATAATTGTGTGGTTGACTGTCATCGCTGCTGTTGCAGGTAAGTATTTTAACACTTGAATTTTACTACAATATAGAAAAAGTAATATTTTATTTGTAATTAAAAATATTTACACCAAAACCTTAACATTAAACCAAATAAGATCAAGCGAATAATTTTCTTATTCTGCAAGAAAAAATATCTAATAAACGTAGTAAGCGATTTTTTCATTCTATATTGCATTCGTTAACAAACTTGTACTATTATTATTATTATGTTATTATTCACATTTAATATTATTTTTTACTTATTAGCTTATTTAATTATTTAATATTAATACTAATAAACTTAACTATTGTACTATATATTATTACTAAACTATTGCAATGTACTAAAACTACAAATTAATAAATGAAAACGTGATGTACAAACGCACTTAAAACTTGTCTGATGAACGCATAAAATCGAACGCATAAAATCGAACGCATAAAAAAGATAATTGTAATCGAATCAAATTTAATAGGATACTTTAGTTGCTTGTTTCTTTTTTTATAAAGTCAAAAATAATTAACAACATTAATATTTTCAGCCGTACCTAAGAACCCGCAGCGTATCATAGGTGGTGAACTTACCAATATCAATAACTACCCAGAGATCGCTGCACTCTTGTTCTCATGGAACGGTATTGCATACAGCCAAGCGTGCGGTGGATCTATCCTTAACAAGAGATCCATCTTGTCTGCTGCTCACTGCTTTGTGTAAGTATATATTTATATAATACTATTTCTAAATAGAATTATACTTATCTTAATTTTGACAAATATTTACTCATCTATTTTGTTGCAACTTGAAGAATTTTAATAAATAGGAATTAGATTTGTATCAAATTTGGAAACGCTTTAGACTAAAAAAAAGAAAGAAAGTGTTTTTATTTTATTTTATTTAATTTTAACTTTTATATTATATTTAATATACAAAAAGTAATAGTGTTTTATAAATCATGCTATTATTTCATCATCATCATCATATCAGCCTTCAACTGTCCACTGCTGAACATAAACCTCCCCCTTGGCGGGTTTTGCCAGTAGTTTCCATGCGTAGCAAGCGGATTGGCAACCGCAGTTAGGCTTTGAAGATGTTTGAAAAGGGGCACTGCTGCCCATCTCTCGCCCTCCCTTAGTTGGCTCTTACGACACCTAAGGCATAGGGAGGGGTAGCCTATTCTATGCCGAGACCACATGGCCGTGCTATTATTTACAAAATATATAATTTATAAGTAAAATAGATTATACTAATATATATAATACATGTCCTGCTTTTACAGCGGTGACCCAGCAAACAGATGGCGCGTTCGCGTTGGCTCTACCAACGCTAACAGCGGTGGTGTTGTTCATAATGTCGATGCCATCATCACCCACAGTAGCTACAACAACGGGACCAACGACAATGACCTCTCTATTTTGCGTCTCTCCTCGAACCTTGTGTACACCGATGTCATTCAACCTGCCAGCATTGCTGGATCCAGTTACAACCTCGCTGACAACCAAGTTGTCTATGCTGCTGGATGGGGTGCCACATCTGTAAGTTTCACGTGTCTCTTCTTATATGTATTAGAAAACAATAAAAAGAGAACAATAACAAGAAAGTAAAATCACATTGTTTATAATAGATGTAAATAACCAGCTTCATCTAGTAATGTAGTTGTCGAACAAATACTAATAAATTTAAGGCAATTTTAGAGAATATAATTTCAGACTTGTTTCAATGTACCAGACTCCTATTTGGGCATATTTAAAATTTAGAAATATTTTGTACTTTAGGTCGGCGGTTCTGGCTCTGAACAACTTCAACACGTACAAGTCTGGACTGTGAACCAAGAGACATGCAGGAACCGTTACGCTGAAATCGGTCATGCTCTAACGGACAACATGTTGTGCTCCGGTTGGTTGGATGTCGGCGGTCGCGACCAGTGCCAGGGCGACTCTGGCGGCCCCCTCTACCACAACAAAGTCGTCGTCGGCGTGTGCTCGTGGGGTGCGCAGTGCGCTGTCGCCCGCTACCCTGGTGTTAACGCTCGTGTGTCTCGCTACGCAGCTTGGATTCGAGAAAATTCTTAAACAGCACCATTGAAATATCTTCTCAGTCTATATTATTTGTATTAACAATAAATATAGACTATACAAATTTATTCATCTATATTAACTGGAATAATATGTATTTTATAATTTTTTATAAAAATAATAAAATATACAAATATTCTGATATATATTTACGTTTCATTTTATTTGATAACATTCTATGCAGAACTTTCAGTATATGATTGTATATAAGATTAGTAAACGCCTCTCAAATTCACATAATTAATTTTTAAACAAAGGGATTAAATTAGAGTGCACTTTTTTGTTTTATACAACTTAGAATGGCAAGCTGAGCAAGCTGACGGCCCACCTGATGGACAGTGGTAACCGTCGCTTATAGACATGAGCAGTACCATGGACATAACAGAGTATACTGTTTAGCCCATGATACCCCCTATGCGTTGCCATTCCTGAGGACTCAGGTGTTATTCCTCTGTACCCAGTAAATTCACGCCATTTCCCACCCTTCAAACTGAAACACGCCGCCGTTGCGCCACTTATTTTACTAATACCGTAATTTTACCAATGAATTTTATCTACCTATTTTTAAACGTCGCGCTACCTTCTTGTCATTATTTTGATTGCATTGAGCTTAACCTTTAATTATGATCGCGCATTGCAAATATTATATCGAGGGGGGAAAAAGGATTGTTAGTAATGGGATCTAAAAGTTTCATTACTAGCAATATACCCTATCAGGTCGACCTTCACGCGGTTCCCCCTGAAAACCATCGTGGTTAATTCTTACGGAATTCTTTACAATGGGCTAACTGACCTGCTTTCACCCTCATCTATCACCTCTCATTAGTGCCCCGCCAGTGTATACCAATAGCGCAGGCGGGGTTACCATACCATTTTCATCCATTAAAAAAAATAGTATATGGAATACACGCGATTATTTACATACTTGCATGTATTCGATATATTTAATATCAGCTTGTTTTTTACTGAATCATACACAAACTCCTTAATAGATTTGGATGATAAATTAGTTTATTACCGTGTAATCCCGGCATAAAATAGGCCACCCCTTCCTCTCCCGTAAGTGTCGTGAGACGCGACTAAGGAAGGGCCAGGGATGGGCAGCAGCGTCCGTTAAAACATCTTCAAAGCCTAACTGCGGTTGCCAATCTACCTCCCAAGCGTGGCAACTACTGGCTTAACCCCACTAGGGGTAAGCTTATGTTTAGCAGAGGATAATTAAAGCCTGATATGATGATGACGATGATGGTGATAGAACGGATGTATTAATAATATATAGAAGTTTATTAACCCAGTATTATATTTCTATAATATCCATTGTTACAAACACCTTTGTAATTTGTGTTTCAAATATTATATTCTTTTATTTGTTAATTTTTTTAATAAATTGTCAGTATAACTTTTCAACACGAACCGGCATTTTCTTTCCTACAATCAGTTCAGAATACCCATACTTAATAATACCTATGTAAGGATAATCTTTAATATAATAAATGACAAATATGCTACTTGCAATTTCTCAAATTTATGTCATAGTATTTTTAGGCTGTTCATTTAAATATCTTCAGTCTAAAATATTGCATTTATAAGATGAGATTTTGACCCAAAAAACGGTGTCTTCTATGGTCACAAAATTTATGTGAAACTAACACGGGAATGAACCCCGTTATGATAATAAATTGACAAAGACTAATATCTTTGTCAATTTATTCATTACATCATAGCATACGGACAAAAAATGCTATCGAATCGACAACCTTCCTTTCTTATTGTTCAAATCGCTTAAATTGTAAATCTCTTAATGCTTAATATTAACACATTAAAGGCAGGAGTTTAGATACTACTATTCATCTCGACTATAGTTTAAAGGCGGGAGTCGTAGTACTACGATTTATCTCGACTGTAGCTTAAAGGCGGGAGTCGTAGTACTACGATTTATCTCGACTGTAGCTTAAAGGCGGGAGTCGTAGTACTACGATTTATCTCGACTGTAGCTTAAAGGCGGGAATCGAAGTAATATAATTTATCTCGACTGTAGCTTAACCGTGATTGACGATTATACTCGTCACGGAGAAGTGGCAAAATCGCCGTGTTGTCTAGCATACCTACTTTTGTCAAGATCTCCCGCCTATAATGTGTAAACAAAATAAATGTAACAAAATAATAACAATATAACAAAATATAAGTTTTCTGTCCCTGAACTTTACTGCGGTCTATTTATGATTATATGTACATGGACTGCACCCATCAGTACTGGTTAGTACTCATAGGTATGATTATTATCATATCATTAAACAATAATAAGGTAGAGTGCCACTTTTGTAATGACTGCGATTAGAAATAACGGACAGATAACGTGTATAAAAGAATTAGTTTTATTTTTTAAATTAACTATCTTGTATACGATCTTTTTCTTTTTTTTTATTCAACGTAGAACGGCAAATAAGCTGACGGATGGAAAGTGGTAACTGTCACCTATAGCTATTTTGAGCGGCAATAATTACCGAATCCCCCAGGTCCATGAGAGCTTGGAGGTCGGCCCCTTTTTGGAGGGAGAGAGATATGCCGACATGAGCAGTACCACGGACATAACAATATAGTCCATGATTCACCCCATGCGTTGCCATTTCTGAGGACTCAAATGTTATTCCTCTGTACTCTGTAAATTCACTGCCATATCCTACTCTTCAAATCGAAACACACTTATGCAAACACAACTGCTTCACGGTAGAATGGGACAGAGGTGCCCAAGCAAACGATTTTCGTACAAAATCTCCCTCTGGTAATCTATTTCCTTAATAAGTCTAATTGTCCCATTAAGGAACTCAGTCGTGAACATAATAATTTATTATATTTATAATCTATGTGTCTGTCGCAACATCAAATTGCCTTTAACTATATAATATATTTATACGTAACGGATTTTGATGCAGTTTCTTTTATCAGATAAAGTGATTCAAGAGGAAGATTTATATGTATAATACATGCATAATATAGTAGAAGAATACTGATAATTTTAAATGTATGTAATGTTATGTGATGTAATGTGCACCCGTGCGAAGCCGGGGCGGAATTCTAGTTGATAATGTACCTATGAGGTTGAACTCCACGCGATCTCCTTGGAAACTATCATCATTAATCCCCATGGGATTAGTCAAGATAGGCTAACTGGCTTAAATTTATGATCATTTTACACGGCAGCCTATTTATATAATGTATTTATAATTAATTTATAAAATATTATAAATTAATTATTGTGGTTTAAAACAATAACCAAGAATAATACACGTTCATTTCTGCTTTATTAAATTACAGATATAATGTAAATACACTACGTAATATTTAAAAAAAAGAGCGATCTCATTCTAATACATGTTATTACAAACTTAAAATGATAAAATCCATTCGCTTTTTATATATTAAATTATTATTTATTTATTTATTTACTCTTTATTGCACTACTTAAAGATATAATACAAAAACAGTATATATATATATATATTCCATTCATCTATTTTAAAAATATACGAGTATGTAATTTCTGTAAATTGTGCCTTACTGGAAGTATAATTTATCCGGAATTTTCCTAATAGATTACAATAAAGGATATGTGATAAGAAATGGTGACTCATTGCATTCTCACCTGTCTCGTTGCAACGTTATATCAAACAATTTATGAATAACTAACCGTTTCCCGCAACGTTGCTTGCTTCTATGTAGTTTCCGTATATCATTCCCATTAAAAATCTTCATGAATCTTATATTGTATTATGTACTTAGATGATAATTATGTACCTAATACCTTCATGAAGTTTCAGCCTCAGTTTTAGCATATATGATTCTTTAGATTGATATAACTTTTTTATTTATGTACCGATTTAAATAAAACAAACAATAAATATTAAATAAAATAAACTGCAATGCATTAGTAAAAACCGCATTCAAATCGGTTTAGCCGTTTCTGAGATTTATAAGCACAAACGTCCATGGTATTACTCATGTCTATAGGCGACGGTTGCTACTTTCCATCAGGTGGGCCGTCAGCTTGTTTGCCATTCTAATTTATATTAAAAAAAAAGACAAACAGACAAAAATTCTAAAAATCATTGTTTTGTGTTCTATTATGTTCATCGTTTTTTTAATAAATTCTACTGCAAAGTGTGTGAGCCAATAATATTTAAAAGTATTCCAAATTCAAGTCAGTAAGATTAGTAGTTGCTACTGTTCGATTATACTAAGCTATATCGTTGTGACAATTGAACAGACGGACGGACGGACGGACTGACAAAGTCATCCCATAAAAATTGCTTTGTACTTTTTTGATACTAAACCCTAGAAGGAGCATTTAGTGGCAAAGTTAAATGAACAATGATAATGACTTTTTTAATAAAACTCATATACGAATATGTATATTTAACTGATTACATTGTCCACGTAACAGTTTTTTAAAACATGTCACAGACCTTATTGGTTTTATTTTTATACCCTGAAACATAAGCAGCAGTTTTTTTTTTTCTTGTAGTTACACCTAAATCATAAAAAAATCGGTCACCTGTACTGGTGACTTTGTTGAACTTGTAGATTGACTTGTGTTGATTCTATCACAGACTGTTAAATTCATGCACTAATTGTATAATAAAATGACACCTATGAAAAAAACAAAATAAGTCTAATGACCCCCAACTCGTCTTCCTAGTGTTGAAGGTATTGTTTGTTTAGATTAACAAAATCAATCTGATTATAAAAGATAACAATTACCATAATAATACGGTCGTAATGGTATAAATATCGTGTGTTCGTTACTCTGTTATGTCTAAGGGCTTTTTGAAGTGAAGAGACAAAATGCGTTCTATAATTGTGTGGTTGACTGTCATCGCTGCTGTTGCAGGTAAGTATTTTAACACTTGAATTTTACTACAATATAGAAAAAATAATATTTTATTTGTAATTAAAAATATTTACACCAAAACTATAATTAAGGTAGATTAAACAAAGTTTAAGTATTTTTTTTTTTATTCTACAAGAAAATAATATTCAATGAAGATGGTAAGGAATTCTTTTAATTCTATATTTCATTCGTTAACAAACTTGTACGCTGTTTCAATGTTCAAACCTTTGTCGTGTGCTCTTTAGTTTTTTAGTGTAAATCCAACTTTATATAAAATTCTGAAGTATCCCAGTTCTTTATAAATAAAAATTACCCAGTTTTAGAATATTATGCAATCGATAGCACTTTTTACAATTTGTACAATACACATTTTTTATTGTTCAGTAATCAATTAAATTACAATTAGAAATTAATATACAATTGACGATTAAATGACGATAAATCTAAAAAACTATTAATTATTATTATTATGTTACTATTCATACTTAATATTGTTTTTATTTAATAGCTCATTTAATTATTAATTATTAATACTGATATACTAAACTATTGTACTATATAATATTACTAAACTATAACAATTAACAAAGACTACAAATTAATAAATGAAACTGTGATGCAATATGCACCTGAAACATTGTCTGATGAACGCATAAAGTCATCGTCAAATACATGCAGTTTATAATAGAAATCGAATCAAACTTAAGTGAAGAGTTTAGATACCTGTTCCTTTTTTTATAAGATCAAAAATAATTGACAATAATGTAATTAATATTTTCAGCCGTACCTAAGAACCCGCAGCGTATCATAGGTGGTGCACTTACCAATATCAATAACTACCCAGAGATCGCTGCACTCTTGTTCTCATGGAACGGTGCCGCATACAGCCAAGCGTGCGGTGGATCTATCCTTAACAAGAGATCCATCTTGTCTGCTGCTCACTGCTTTGTGTAAGTATATATTTATATAATACTATTTCTAAATATTATTATTTTTATCTAAATTTTGATAAATATTTACTCATCTATTTTGTTGCAACTTGAGGATATTTAATGAATAGAAATTGGATTTGTACCAAATTTGGAAATGCTTTAGACTATAAAAAGAAATAGTGTTATATATATTTTATTTTAACTTTTATATTTTACACCCAACAAGTAATAGTGTTTTATAAATCATGCTTTTATTTCATCATCATCATCATCATCATATCAGCCTTCAACTGTTCACTGCTGAACATAATCCTCCACTTGGGGGCTTTTGCCAATAGTTTCTATGCGTAGCAAGCGGATTGGCAACCGCAGTTAGGCTTTGGAGATGTTTGAAAAGGAACACTGCTGCCCATCTCTCGCCCTCACTTAATTGGCTCTTACGATATCCACAGCAAAGGAAACGGTGGCTTTTTCTATGCCGGAACCACATGGCCATGCTATTATTTACAAAATATATAATTTACAAGTAAAATAGGTTATACTAATATTTTTGCATTTATATTATAATAATATTAATATACCTTGTAATTATTTATATTTATAATGAGTTTACTATTGTAATCTTTTGGAGGAAACAATAAATCTATCTATCTAATATATATAATACATGTCCTGCTTTTACAGCGGTGACCCAGCAAACAGATGGCGCGTTCGCGTTGGCTCTACCAATGCTAACAGCGGTGGTGTTGTTCATAATGTCAATGCCATCATCACCCACGGCAGCTACAACAGCGGGACCAATGACAATGACGTCTCTATTTTGCGGCTCTCCTCGAACCTTGCGTACACCGATGTCATTCAGCCTGCCAGCATTGCTGGATCCAGTTACAATCTCGCTGACAACCAAGTTGTGTATGCTGCTGGATGGGGTGCTACATCTGTAAGTTTCACGTATCTCTTCTTATATGTATAACAGTACATCGACAAGAAAGAAAAATGTTTATAATAGATGTGAATAACCAGCTTCATCTAGCAATTGTTTTTTACTTTAGGTCGGCGGTTCTGGCTCCGAACAACTTCGGCATGTACAAATCTGGACTGTCAACCACGAGACATGCAGAAACCGTTACGCTGAAATCGGTCATACTCTAACCGACAACATGTTGTGCTCTGGTTGGTTGGATGTCGGCGGTCGCGACCAGTGCCAGGGCGACTCTGGCGGTCCCCTCTACCACAACAAAGTCGTCGTCGGCGTGTGCTCGTGGGGTGTGCAGTGCGCTCTCGCCCGCTACCCTGGTGTCAACGCTCGTATATCTCGCTACGCAACTTGGATTCAAGAAAACGCTTAAACAGCACCATTGAAATATCTTCTCAGTCTATATTATTTGTATTAACAATAAATATAGACTATACAAATTTATTGATCTATATTAATTGGAATAAATATGTATTTTATAATTTTTTATAAAAATAATAAAATATACAGATTCTGATATATATTTACGTTTCATTTATAACATATATGCATTGATAACATTCTATGCAGAACTTTCAGTATTGTGGCATATAAAATTATCTCAGATAATAGCGATGATATTTTTATTTAAGTAAACATCTAAACATAGGGATTAAATTAGCTGCACAACCCTCACATGAACAATTAAATTCAAATTGTTTTTTGTTATTAACTAAATGGAACACGCTGTATGAGTATAGAACGCGCATTGCGTCATTTGTGCGCGTGGACAGCGGACAGCTCGATGAGTTGCGCTACTTATTTTACTAATACCGTAATTTTACCAATGAATTATCTACCTATTTTTAAACGTCATACTTGTAATTATTATTATTGTACTTGAGCTTAATCTTTAATTACCAGCTATCTAACATATTGATAACTAAATAAGTGCACTGTAAATTAATATTAAATAAAAAAATTACTTAGTATAAAAAAATTATTGCAAATATTATATCGATTATTACGCGATTATATATACATACTTGCATTATTTGATACATTATATTTAAATATTATATATATATATATATATATATATATATATATATATATATATATATATATATATATATATATATATATATATATATATATATATATATATGCTATTTGCAATTTCTATTTATTTATGTATAATATTTTTCATATTCGTTTAGACATCACCAGCATTATCTAAAATATTGTATTTATAAGATGAGATTTTGTCCCACAAAAAAACGGCGTCTACTATGGTCACAAAATTTATGTAAAACTAACACTGGAATGAACCCCATTACGATAATAAATTGACAAAGACATCACATAGCATACGGACAAAAAAATGCCATCGAATCGACAACCTTCCTTCCCTATTATTCAAATCGCTTAAATTGTAAACCTCTTAATGCTTAATATTAACACATTAAAGACAGGAGTTCAGGTACTACTATTTATCTCGACTATAACATAAAGGCGGGAGTCGTAGTACTGAGATTTATCTCGACTGTAGCTTAAAGGCGGGAGTCGTAGTACTACGATTTATCTCGACTGTAGCTTAAAGGCGGGAGTCGTAGCACTACGATTTATCTCGACTGCAGCTTAAAGGCGGCAGTCGTAGTAATACGATTTATCTCGACTGTAGCTTAACCAGTTAACTGTGATTAACGAGTATACTCGTCATGAGGAAGTGCCAAAATCGCCGCGTTATCTAGCATACTTTTGTCAAGATCTCCCGCCCTTAATGTGTTAACAAAATAAATGTGAAGTTTTCTGTCCCTGAACTTTAATGCGGTCTATTTTTGATTATATATATATGGACTGCACCCATCAGTACTGGTTAGTACTCATAGGTGTGATTATCATATCATTAAACAATAATAAGGTAGAGTGCCACTTTTATAATGACTGCGATTAGAAGTACCCGACAGATAACGTGTATGAAACACGTTAGTAGTAGTAGTTAAGTATTAGTTTTAATTTTTAAATTAACTACCGTATATATAGTGTTTTTTTTTTTCTTTTTTTTTTATGCTACTTAAAATAGCAAACAAGCTGACGGTCACCTTAAAAAAAAGTGGTAACCGTCGCCTATAGACATGAGCAGTACCATGGACATAACAGAGTATAATGTTTCGTCCATGATATACCCCATGCATTGCCATTCCTGAGGACTGGAATGTTCTTGCTCTGTACCCTGTAAATTCACTGCCATATACATATACACAACTGCTACACGGTAGAATCACGAATGGGACAGAGGTGCCCAAGCAAACGACTTTCGTACAAAGTCTCTCTCTGGTAATCTATTTCCCTAATAAGTCTAATTATCCCATTAAGAAACACAGTCGTGAACTTATTATTTTATTACGTCTATAATCTATGTGTATGTCGCAACGTCAAATAATCTTTAACTATATATATTTTTAATATTACGTTCAAATAATTTATTACTTGTTCATCCTTCAATTGAGATTGGGACTAAATGTTGAGCCTTGAATGTTTTTTTTAACTACAATAACTTATTCCAATTATCATGAATTAAAGAAACTCTTTTAAAAAACAGCCAAATCGGTTCAGCCACTTCGACAAGATAGTATTTTGTCGAATAGGGGAAAAGGATTGTTTGTAATAGGATTTAACAGTCCTATTCTTAATAATATATCTATGAGGTTGACTTCCACGCGATCTCCTTGGAAACTATCATCATTAATCCCAATGGGATTAGTCAAGATAGACTAACTGGCTTAAATTTATGATCATTTTACACGGCAGCCTATTTATATAATGTATTTATAATTAATTTATAATGTATCTATAATTAAATAATATATCTGTAAAAAATCCAATTTAATCCAAACAAAAATCCAACCAACAAAACAATAAACAAATTTAATACACGTTCATTTTTGCTTTATTAAGGTACAGATATATTGTAAATACACTACTCAATATTTAAAAAAAAAGCCATCTCATTCTAACACATGTTATTACAAATTTAAAAGGATAAGATCCATTCACTTTTTTATACCATATATAATTATTATTTATTTATTTACTCTTTATTGCACCACTTAAAGAATAATACAATATATTTATGTAATATTATTATTTATGTATTATTGTTATTTATATATGTAGGTGTAAACATTTATTTTTTATTGTATTTTCAATTTTTACTAGATGTTATTTAGTTTATCTTTAGCTGTACGGTTTTTACCCTTGTACATTCTACTGTTTTCTTTTAGCATCTCAAAGGTCGACTGTAAGAGATCCCTTTATGGGATAAGTCCACCATTGTATATTAAATCTTTTATTGTGTCCAATATAAATTATGCACAATAAAGAGTTTACAATATAATACAAAACAGTAGGTATATATTACACATATGAAATATAAAAAGAGGTTTAATCGCTAAAACAATGTCTTCCAAACAACCTTTGGGTATGTATTATATTCGTATTATGTGTGTAAATAAATTATTTTGTTTGTTTTTTGTTCTTATACTAATAACCCATCTAAATTTATTATACCATTTTCATCTTTTAAAAAAAAATATACTAGTATGTAATTTCTGTAAATTGTGCCTTGGTGAAAGTATAATTTATCCAAAGATAGGCAGAATTTTCCCTAATAGATTATAATAAAGGATATATCCTACAATACAACATCTTATATGAGATAAGAAACAGTGACTCATTGTTTTGTCAACCTGTCTCGTTGCAACGTTAGTTATATCAAACAATATATGAATAATATATTCTTTACTAGGCAAACTCATTGGCGTCTAGAGTCAAGTAAATAATTCATAACTAACATACCTGTTATCAATTAAGGAAATTAATGATTTATACAGTTGATGTTTGTTTTTGTTCACATTTATTGTTTTAGGGGAATTTTAAATAATAAATGTGTCATGCATTATATCAATTGTGTATTACATATCGAGACGCGCTGCTTGTAATCAGGTTAATGGGCGTTAGGCTTGTTACAGCATGATAACAATATTGAACAACTCATATATTTATTATTAGGTAGTGAAGTTTTTATCACTGTTTAAAAACAGTGATAAAAATTAAACTAAACCTAGTTCGTTAACCAAACTGACAATGATTTTTTTCTATGAAACTTAGAATGGCAAATAATGATCTGATAGGAAGCGGTAACCGTCGTCTATAGACATGAGTTGGCATGGACGTCACGGGTTACCATTTTCAGAAGTCTCTGACATCATATAGTTTAACTGGCATATCCCAACCTTCAAACTTACATCATAACCTTCAAGAAAAGAGCATATTTCTTTTTAAAAGGCCAACAGCACACCTGTGATACCTCTGGTGTTATGGGTGATCATGGGCGTTGATGGCCACTTACCATCAGGCGAGCCGCATGCTCATTTGCTTATGTTATAAAAAAAATAGAAAACCCTAAAATACAAAATAAAATAAAAAATTAACACCACTCGCCCCACTCCCCCCCCCCCATCAATCTTAGTATTATTCCTATGCTCAAATCCAAGATTTTATAAGTGTCTTCCAGTGAAACGGTAAATAATAAAATTTTCCGTTGTAACATTAAGCAGATGGAACTACCCTTTACTTGGTTTTAGACAATGCTGGGCGGGTCACCCAGTACAATTAAACTATTATGCTTTCGGGACATTCGTGATAAATCTACTTTGACCCTGTTCCTAATGGCGAGCCTATTCACAGTGAAATCCGGTTGGGTAAAGGCTCACAAAGGTCGCCCTAGCTGGCGTCAGTTTTCTCTTCTTGATATTTTTTTTATTTGTCTCAAAAAGTATTTAAAATAATTATCTATGTTTTCACTTTATCATAGATTAATGTAATATTTTTATTTTTAACCGACTTCAAAAAAGGAATTCAGTCAATCAGTCGTCAATTCAGTTTTTTTCGTTTACTACCTCATAATTCTTTGGATTGGATTTGAAAAAATATTTTTTATGTTAAAGTATACTTTCAGATTAATTTTATAGAAATTTTAAAAAAATATTTTAAAAAAATATATTGTTTTTTTGTGATATAATGAAGCATTATCGTCTAAAATAATAGTGGATACATCAATGCAACTATTATTTTTCCAAACAGATAATCTATTTCTACACAGTAAGCCAGTGTATTATGGAGCTGGTTCGACTCTTAACCGCCAAATATTTCCCCAACACTAAATCAGCATATGATCATAATGAAATATAAAAAATATATAGTGTATACCAGTAAATTTTATAAAGCATTTAACAACAAAATTATAATATTTTTGTTTCTAATGTTATCAAATACATGCAGTAATATTGTTTGGTACTTATTATTTTTAATCTATGAATATAAAACTTTTTGTATTTAAATACAGTGCTTTATTTGCTAAAAAAACTTTAATCAATAAAAATATATTTTAATATTTAATGATAAAAATACAGATTACAATATTATTAAAAACCCATTATTTTGAATAAAAATGGGAACGTGTTTATATCAAAGCACTTGT